ACAAGTATTAATACAATTAAAGTATTATCATTTAAGATTGGGTTAGCTCCTCTGATACCCTTAAAGGATCAGCTGGATGGATGCATGGATGCATTGATGGATGGAAGGATGGATGGTTGGATGTTTGGATGGACGGATGCATGGATAAATGGATGTTGAATGCATGGATGTATGGATGGATGATGGATCGATAAATGGGTGGAAGGATTGATGGATGAACGATTTACCCCTCCCCTAATTGTAGAACTTTTACAGAACATTATTGGAAACACAAGAATACTGTATTAGTATAGTTTTACCACAACTACTTAATTAACTTAGTGGTACTAATCCCTCATTGGGTCTTTCAACTATCCCTCTTTATCCTATCAACACTATTATTGGCAGTTAACTCAGGAAGTCTTAACATACTGGGTTTGCACCTCCCTCTCTGGGTCAAAGGTCATTTAGCATCTTCACCATTCAGGGCACCACTGTAGAGAGACTGACAGGGCCACATGGAGCGAGAGAGATTACAGGGGTCTCCAGGGGTCGAGCTTTAGCCAAGCAAGGCAGACATTCGCCCCGTCCCTGAGGAGAAACACAGTGTATCTCTGTGTGTGTCTGAGCATGGGCAGGGGTGTGTGAGTGTGTGTGAGCGTATGAGTGTGTGTGTGAGTGTGAGTTTATGTGTGTGTTTGCTGGCACAGCTCCAATGCACAAGACTAATGGAGAGCTAATGTCTCTTGCGTGTTGTTGTGTACTGAGCAGCTAAATACAGGAGGACAAGAAGAGACTACTTAAGCATGACACACCCTGCAGTTTTGAATCACTGTTCTCATAATACTTCCTGTACAGCTTCCTCCGATGCTTTGACCCATAAACAACCCCCGCAGGCTGTGAGGGTTTGAACACCTGCAGTTTGATGTTCTCCTGTTGCTTAATATCAAGGCATCTGTATTTTTGCACTTATTTTTTGACATTTATGTGAATTGCTCAAGAAATAATGTAGAGATATTAATGAAAGAAACAGGCGGGTGTAGAGTGCTAATGTATGAACAGCTGAGATTTGGTGCAGACCCGAGTAATGAGCTGCCATCCATGGAGGACCTCTACACCAACAGGATTATCAAAGACCCTTATCAATCATTAATTCAGTCTACTCAGTAGTAACATACTTTATTTTAGTTTGAAATTTATATTTATTTGTATATTTTTATACTTTAGTTTTGTTTTATTTTATATATTTTATTTTTGTTTTTATTTGTGACCCAAGCATTTCATTGCCAGCAACTGCTATATGTAATTGTTGTGCACATGATAAACAAAGTCCTCCGTATCTGATTTTAATACTTGTATATGCAATATAGTGATTAAGTGGCCAATGATTTATTTAATAATGATTCATAAATAATAATTTAATAAATTAATCAGTATCTTATATTTGTATTGTGATATGTGATGAAAATGCCAATTAAAGTGTTGCACAGAATCAGGCAGAATGCAGGCTACAATTTGTCTACATTTATGTTTCTCAAGACAAATTTTCTCTGTTCTTTATTTTCCTCAGTGGGCGAAGGTAAAAACCTGATCCCCATGGACCCCAACGGCCTGTCTGACCCGTATGTCAAGCTGAAGCTCATACCAGACCCCAAAAATGAGACCAAGCAGAAGACCAAAACCATCCGCTCCAACCTCAACCCCAAATGGAACGAGACCTTTAAGTTGTGAGTTGATCAGCTGTTAGCACCCACAGCCTGTAGCACACTTTTGTTTATTTTCTAACATGGCTTAATGAATATAATGTAATCTAAATTTAACATCAGTGCTTGTTTAATAACTAGAGCATAAACAAGTTGTACTGCTTCTAATATATAAAACCATTGAAACACTTACCACTGCTGGTAGTGGTGTTGCTGCTACTAGAATTCTATCACCAGTTTTATTTGATTGCTTACTTAATGAAATTATGATAATAATAACATTCTCTATTACAGTGCACTGTTTTTCAAACAGCACAGTATAAATACTGCATGTGTGTGTTTGTTCTGTAATAACCATGATGCCATCCCCTTGTTGCACAGCAAGCTGAAACCTACAGATAAGGACCGCAGGCTGTCGGTGGAGGTGTGGGACTGGGACCGGACCACCAGGAATGACTTCATGGGAGCCCTTTCTTTCGGAGTGTCCGAGCTCATGAAGTCTCCAGTCTGTGGCTGGTAACCTCAGCACTATTGTCATTGTGTATTGTTTAAAATTATACAGAGTGGGATTTAAGAAGGGTCTAGTTACCAGTTTAAAGGCCAGGAAATTTAAATCTCACTCAGCAAATAGCTAATTTCTCCCTGTTTTCTTATTCTGTACAAAATATTCCCTCGTTGCAATGACATATATTTGAACACATAAGAAAATTAATTTGAATTATAAAACTTGTATAATTTGACAGATTTCATAAATTGTTGTTCAGCGCTGACAATGTTTCTCTGGCAACTTACATTCATGTTGAATAAGCCTCAGACAGTGATGTTTTATTAAATTACGTTAACACCAACACAATAATAAACAGTATAGTTTTCTTGGTGATGCTCTTCTAAGCACTAATGATCCCATTAGTCTTAACTAGAAACAGCAAAACACAACAAACATCAGTAGAAAGAGTAGAAGTGTCAACAGTGCAGTATAGAGCTGCCCCCCCTTGCCTTTATATATCCACTAAAACACTTTACAGTACTGTACTGATGGTACCTGGAGCTGTGGCCCTTCATCATCAGTGGTTTTGTCCCATAGGAGGAAGAGATAATCTTACATCTCTTACATGATTTGTGCTACCAATAATGATGGTGTCGAATACACCGCATAGAGGCATCTTGATTTAATCTGAACTGTATCCAGGCCCATTAGAGAGTCAAGATGAAGGAGAGAGTAGAGCAGTTGAGTAGAGACACAGAAGGAAAAGGAATGAATCTGTAATCTAATTTTACAATATTTCTCTCTGAGTTCATTTGTGTCTTTTCTCCCTCTCTCCTTGACTCGCTCTTCCAGGTATAAGTTGTTGTGCCAGGAGGAGGGGGAATACTACAACGTTCCCATCTCAGAGGAGGATGATGGTAATGAGGAACTGAGACAGAAATTTGAGGTGAGCATCACACTAAAATGATCCCAACTAGTCGTTTGTTAACTGAGTTTTTGTCTGAAGTGTCTACAAGATCAAAAAGCACACAATCAATATGACATGGCCTCTGTCATCAAGGAGTAGTTTGTATTTTGATGTTGCAAACTGCTGTGAAAACCCTAAGACTCTAATCGAGTACTGTGATTAATACATATACATGTCTAAAATCGGAATACTCCACATGTATTAATGGGATTATTTTTTATTCCAAGTATGAGTTTATTCAGATTATTGTCATAATCTGGTTAATATTGGAATATTGGTAGCTCTGTCTCTGGCTGTCATACTGATGGCTTCTTTCCTAAATCACTCTACTGCTGTTCATTCATTTAAATAAATCCAACAACTTCTTTTTTTTTTTTACTTCATGCGCTATTATTGGGTGCATATGAATATCTGTGCTGTTGGTCCAGACGTGCAAACCTTAAAAACAAGTACGTCCATCAGAATCATCGACTGGTCACATGTTCTCCTCAGCTAAACAGCTGCTCAATTAAAGACGACAGTGCGGCAGCTGCAGCTTTCAAACACTTCCTCTAGTCAAGGTCACGTGACGCAGGAGAATGAATTTCTTCAATGAATAGAGTGTGTGATGTCTGTGAGCATTTTGTCCTCACATCAGAGAGATTCCTGTCCTGAGTTCAGTGAAAGCAGCTCAAGGACGGACTTTGAAGCATCATCTTTTGTACCAACCGCTTTCTTTTAATCTACTGACACATTCTCTTTGACAAAGACGTGGATGGACCGAGATGTTTTGATACTGTATCTTGTTATAAATGATTTTTTCTTCAGTTTCTATCATCAGTTTGTTAATAACCACAACCGTGTTTAGACAAAAAAACATGATTCATTGGTATTTTATATAGATATAGATTTTATACAGTTTTTGCCAGGTGGTTTGCAGGTCTTTGTATCACAAGCTGCTGCAATGAAGACTGAATTTTAGTTCCTTGAATTCACCCAGTTTTCAAAGGCTCCTTGTAATGTTATCAAAAGAATTATACACCTACATCAGATTTAAGTTTTTATTTCCTCAAAAATCACCACTCATTGCACTATAGTCAGTGTAGCTGATGTTCATGCTAAAGTTTAACCAAACCACTTTTTAAAGGATAAATGTAAATATTTGTATCTTCTCCTCTTTCCTGTAATGTGATTTTTTTTCTTCTAAATTAAATGCGACCCATGAAGATCTTCATAATTAATAGAAAATTATCAGGCGCTTATCATCATAACATATAAGGAGGTTTGTGAGACATAACGACATCCTCTTTTCCTTCATGCACTCTGCTGAATCCGTGTTTCTGGCCTGCTGAGAGCCAATCAATGTTCTTTGTGGTCTTCTGATTGTGTCTCGTATTGTTCAGTCACTCAGTGGGAGCCCTGCTCTCTGGAGGAGACTTTAGAAACGTATTTTCCACGACATCTCTGCTGCACATAGTGGAGAGTTGTGGGTAGAAGTAGAACTGATTGAAAGGCATGATGGAAGGTCATGGTGGGGAATGAAAGCCAAAAATAATTTGTTGATTGATTTATTATTTAAGTGATAAAAGCTGTTAATTTATATCCTACCTTAAAGGAATTTTATTAATGTAAAACCCCTTTAATAACTGTAAATGTGTTTAAAACCACTGCTACTACAAATAAGCTTTTTGAATAAAAATGTCCATTTACTTTTTAGGTCGTTTACCAAACAGCAGCTACAAAAGTATTGGATAAGAATCATCCCTACTTCTGTCAATCACACCTAACCCAGTATACAGCATATGATTGAGCAGTCCTTTAGCGGAGAGCAAATAATAGGTCAGGAGCAAATACCCCTGCTGTACTCAGATCAGAACTGCGTTACCTTTGCCAAAAATCATGTGATTCGCAGGCACGCAAACGTGTGGGCAGATCTCTGCGAATAATGTTTGCAGAGATTTACATTTTTCAGCCTATCAAAACATTATGTAAAACCTTTTCTTATGAGCTTTCAAAAAACGTTTTTTCAGAAGATAGAGCAAATATGCCATACAAGGATGACCAGCCATGGTTTTGGAGTTTGATACCTTTTCTTCCATTTACAGTTGAAGGTCATTCTAGGTCTTAGAACAGAGAGTTGATTCTCTGACCTCTGTCTGTATGATGTTGTCATGGTAACACACAAAGTACAGTCACCTGAATGACACACACACACACACACACACACACATTGCAGTCATAAATCAGCAAAAAGCTGGAACTAAAAATACTTTATTATCACCTTAGAAAGCATTACCCCATTAGCAATACTGTTTGGTATAGCTACAATAAAGGCAATTGTTTGCGGTCCCTCAGGTCTCCAAAATGTGCCGTCTACTTGACTTAATGATCTTGTTTGGAGGCTGTACGACCTGGAGAACCTCTCTCTCTTCTTTGTCCTTTTCCTCGTCATAAACTGTCTGTGGCTCTCTCCCTTTTTCCTCCTTAGCCTCCTGCTCCCTCCTTTGTGCTTGGTGAGACCTATACTGTCCAAATGCTTCTTCATCCTGTGTCACTTGTTCATATTTAATGCAAGAGTTTCTCTGTTCCTCTCCCCCTGCCCTCAGGACTGCCAGATTAACTTTAATCTAAAGGTAGCCCTCTCTCCTCTCCTTCCCTCCTCTCCTCTTGTTGTTCCCTCACTCCTCCACATGTCCGATCATTTGCATGTGGTTCCAAACTACTGCAAATCGATCCAATTTACTAACAATTTGTTCTGGATGTTAGTTTGGTATCCATAAAAAAAAGGAAAAAAAAGAAGAATAGGGGAAGAATGGAGCAAACTAGTCTTTTAAATCAAAATACTTGGAATAACTCACAAAATTATGGGAAAATCTCAATAATAACTTAAGCACAAGTCCATTTGTTTAAATTGAATTTCTTCACCTTACATGTACAGTGTGTGGAACATTGATGCATATCGTGTTTATTTGAATCAGGTGAGAATTTCTCTGTTTTCACTGCTTCCTGTTCCTCAGAGTTTGTCCGAGGGTTGTTAGTAAATCCTGACACTGTACTTCTCACAGTTCATGGCTTCTGTGTGTGTGTGCTGTCTGTGGGGCACTCTGCCTGTTTACATGTTGTGTGCATATCATCACTGTAACTGCAATTATAAGCTGGATGTGTACGGTCATTAATGTTTTCTTATCTTCCTGCTCGCTGAGGCGTTGTGTGTCATAGTTTCTGCACAGTTGTATCTTCACACCAGGAAGGAATGAACTGCAAATGCGTCCACACTTAGTATAAAGTGTAACACAACCAATGATGACCACTAGATGTCAGCACTGAACTGAAACGTGTCAAAAATAAGGAGGAGTATCTCTGTGTGTTGTGCAAGTTGTCTTGTCTTTCTATGGTTGTGTTTGATACCATCATCATGAGGACTCTTGATGTGAGTTTGTATGTTTGCGTCTGTGTTTAATATGCAATGCCATAATCAGTAATATTTTCCAAACCAACTTTACTCATCATTTTCTGTTCAGTTCTACTGGACTGAGAGCCACAGTTTTCTTTTGGTTTGTGTGTATGAAGCTATACATTCCTATTACCCTCCACATCTCTGCGTATATAACCCAGCTGCCTATACTCCAGTGCTCTAAGTGAGTCAGCTCCTTTGGCTCCCTTCTCCCTGTGGTTTCAGGACCAAGCAGTTGTGGAAGACTCTGATCAGGTGCGTCTGAGAGGAAGGAAGTAAGGCTGCTGCTCGCTCGGCTCGGCTCAGCCAGGCTCTTTTCACTGGCTAAAAGCTCACAGGTGTGCTGTGGTCTGGTGCGGTTTGCTCTGCTTTGAGTTTTTGCTGCTGCTCTCCTACATTAGGAGCAGACTAAGGCACCATTAACCAAACTAAAGCTGCTCAGCATTTGGTTGTCTGAAGTTACATGTCCTCATTCAATCAAGGTGTTATGAAATAGTCTGAGCTGGCCATAAACTGAATGTTGAAGTGATTCATGAAGGTGAAACCTGATAAAGATTTGTTGTATTAGTCTGTTGATAGGAAACAACAATCATATCCTGTTTCCTATTCCTGAGGATCACAGTTATTGAAAAGGTTTAGAAACCATTTTATTACTAAACATTAGTTTCCTTGGGGGGGAAAAGATTTTTGTTACCATGTAGTGCAGTTAGAGATTCTTTGTTGATGTTAAAGTGACCTCTGGCTGTTAAAGGTGCAGGATGCTTATAAGGGTTACTTATGACTTCCCCCTTACCTACACTGATAGATTATGATTCTCTCTATCCAGGTAAGAAAAGTGGACAATTTAACATAGGTTTGTTAAAATCCTTGCTGCAGCAGAACAATGATCTTTCTTTGTAGCATGTGTATGTAGGTGATGCCTATGATTTCAGGGTTCAGCATGATTTTGGATCTGTTTGTGCCCGTCTGTTAGTGTGACAACGTGGTGTGTGTTTTGTGCAGAAAGACAGTGAAGTGCAGAAAGTCGTGTCATACGGGATGGTTGTTTATAATTCAGACTGCCGCGAGGTTGTGCATTTTTCAGCATAATGCTCTGCAGTTTTCTAGCAAGCCTTTTGAAGCATCTTGCTCCTGTCAGAGATATGAGCATGAGCTCGGCATGAGGGAAAAACATGAAAACAGGAAAATCCTTTTACATGTTTGCAAATATGCCACTAGGTGGCATCCTTTCCTTCACTTGCAGCCACACTAATCTCTTGTAGTTAATGCAGTTTGATGCAGCCTAATTACAACAATTGGATTAGCTTTGATAGATAAAGTTAAGTGAAGATTTATTGATTCCTGCTGGAGAAATTCACTTGTTACAGCAGCAGATAGTTAAAACGAGGGAGGCAAGAGAACATGTGAATGTATAAAATTGAATAAAATCAAATTTAAATTAAGTTAAACAAAAATACAGAGAATATGTTAATAATATATACATTTCACAACAGAAAATATTTATTTGCAGTGAAAAATACTTGGGTAAGGTGCAGTGGCACAGGATGATTACACAACGATGTACATTGCACACTAGTTTAAGCATATATTGAAATAAAGGTATACAATGTATAGATAAAGCTATCATTATATAGGATGGTATGGTAAAAAATATTAGAGTTTAAAACTTTGTTTGAGATGTAATACACATATACATAGACTTATTTATTATTAATGATTTTAGTGCAATTTAAATTATGTAAAAATCTTTTGAAACAGAAGATATTATTTGACATGTAATTCACCAGCCTTTGCCTCATGTTTTTATTGAAAGGTTATTAAAGCATGTCGTCTCATGTTGATGCTCCTCGTGTCAGTTCTCTCCAGGTCTTTAAATTAAAATGGGAAAAGGGTTTGAGGCTTTTACTTGGTGTAAACATTTGTTACCATTAAAATGTGTTGCCTCTTTAAGCTGACATTAAGAGCCAGTACTGAGGTTGTTATTGATTTTAATGAGAACTGTTTGTTATCATGTTTATGAGGACTGGGTCACAGCTGTAGCTATTTATTGGTCAATACAATAACAAAATCACAGTCGTGAATAAAGCATAACGTATCCTATTGTTTAGTACATTATTTTATTTAATCTGTGTGTAGAATCATTTATTTGATCACATCTCACTTCAATTTCATTCCACCCCCTAATGTTGAATGCGTATCATGTTACATCATGGCTGTGAGTGAGCAAATAAACAGTGTGCGTGAGAGAAAATGACCCGAACTGTCAAGTGTCATTTTAGGAATGAAGTTAAATCATCTGAAATATGTATTTGTATTATACTTAGTATCATTCATTGATCATTAGTAATTGCTGTAGAGGCTTAAAAAAGAAACCAAAGAAATTAGATTGTTTGGTCTGGAAATATTTCACATTACACAACAGGTAAAGATGAAGAAACTTTCAACAGTTGCTTCTGCATCTTTCCAATCTGATAACTTTTCAAATACACCTCACATTCTCGACTCAACTACACACTGCAGCTTTACTCTCTATGTGTGCGACCTTTAAGATGTATGTTTCTCACACGCCATATCTTCTGTGCCCTGGGTGCAGAAAGCCAAACTAGGACCAGGTAAGAAGGTGATTGACGAAACGGATGACACCACCTCCGGCCAGCTGCCGTTCAACAGCCTGGACCATGTCAAACTCGCCGACTTCTCCTTCCTGGCTGTGCTGGGGAAGGGCAGCTTTGGCAAGGTGAGGCATCTGAACTGACTGCTCTCTTTGTCACTGGTAGCAAGACGTCTCTGACTGATGTCTTTGTTACCCTGAAGGTCATGCTGGCAGAGATGAAGGCCACTGAAGAGCTGTACGCCATCAAGATCCTGAAGAAGGACGTGGTGATCCAGGATGACGACGTGGAATGTACCATGGTGGAGAAGAGAGTCCTGGCCCAACAGGACAAGCCGCCCTTCCTCACACAGCTCCACTCGTGCTTCCAGACTGTGGTAGGTAAAGTGCTCCTGGAAACACACCAGGACGAGTCACCTCATCTCAGGTCAAATTAATTCATTGAGGGGCTTTTAGCTAAACATATTACTCATCATATGATGAAGAGAGCAGTAGAGGACATTTAAGACCAGTACAATAAAGAAAAAAAAGGAAAGAGGAAACAAACAAACCCAAATTAGGAGGCTGAGGCTTGTGTGTGTGTGTATGTGTGCGCACTTGTATTGACTTTGAGTCATACCTAAGCCAGACCACACAACCTGAGAGCATGTACTCTACAAGTGGAGGGACGTGCTCTCATATATACAAGTGCACACACGCCATCATACACACACACAACTTACTTTGTGTTTTTCATAGTCATTTGAAGGTCATCATGATCCCACAACACTCTGCCTTGTCAACATGTTATCTTTACGACATGAGAGAATACTTTCAAATGTGTTAACTTGTTAACTCGTAGATCAACTGATTAGATTTGGGTGGTCAAAGGTCACGGTGACCTCACAAAACATGTTTTTCGGCTCCTGAGCATATCGGAAGTCTCCCTATCTTCAGATTTTGACCAGTTGTCACCATAGATTCCACCAGTTGGACTCATAGATTAACTGATTAGATTCCAGTGCTGAAAGGTCAAATGTCAGGTAGGCCTCATATGAGTCTGTAAAAAAAATGTATGTAGTTCCCAAGGCTGGTCTACGCGCAGTAAGCTGACATACTCACACAGACTGCAACCTAAAACACTTTGTGTCTTTCATGTATGTCTACAAATTCTTAAAACACTCTCTGAATCCAATTCAGATACATTTCCCTTTTTCTTTTCATGATGTCACAGACAATTATATCTGATGTGTTCTTGTTGACTGGTGATATATCCACACTGGTTTTGTATGATGGTCTCTTTCATGACACAAACAATGTCAAACATCCCAATGTTGTTTTGAATTCCGTGGAATTGGTCAATCTCCAAAACCACTGGACTCTTTCTTCAGCCCTTGTTTATGGCCCCTTCCTTTCACACATTTTAGGCCCAATGAAAATTATCAGTCGTTAGCTAAATCACAAAGCCTGTTGGTGTCTCAGCCGCCATATCGACAATTGCATAGCTGAACAAGGCCAAGCTGAACTGAAACTGCTGATCAGAGCTGTAGCAAAAGCAGGCGGACAGAGGGAACAGAAAGAGATACATAAACTCATTCTCCCACTTTTACTTCCCACATACATAAACAGCATTACTTAACCTCACAACCTCATTCAAGAATTCCCACAATACATATCCTTGCAGATTGTGTTTGTTTAAAAGAATCATTGCATCTATATTGTACAGTTTTCTTGTTTTCTGCATGCATGTCATAACCTCTACAATATAAACCTATGAGACACAATGATCCAGCATACAGACTTGCTGTTCAATGTAACTTCTATCTGTAATTTTCATATGTCAGTTTTGTATCTATTTCATATGATGTTTAACACAGTGGTGGATCTGCTGTATTTTCTTACACTGTTACAGTTTCATATAAGTTGGTTTTTATGTTGGTAAAAAAATAAAACAAGGCAAACCAGATTTTAAACCTGATAGGTATGATGGTGCTCAGTTTACTTTCTGCCAGAGCTCTTGTATTGAAATACCATCATCAAAGGTATATCTATATACTGCTTATCATTTAAGGGCCGTGGTGGGGTGGAACCAATCATAGTTGACAGCAGATGAGAGGCGGGGTTCACCCATGATAGGAAGATATGTAAAACCGAAATAATTAATCGGCTATTCATCAACATTGCAGGTTAATGCAACTGTGCTGAAATGATTCAATGATGAACATCAATAGTGCAAAATTTAGCTTTTGATTTTTGTGTTCTTCAATTTGATTTTGGAGGAATAGCATTTTATTTTGTTGCTTTGTTTAAATTATTTGTTCAGGGGTTTGTACAAAATGAAAAATTTTTGCTCTGTGTTGAACAAGACATCCTCTGCACCATTTGACTTTTTAGTTAAATTAACATCTAGGCCATTTTCAATTTTTTATGTGTGGGATGGAAGAGTACAGTTTTAATGTGAGGAGTGTAGAGAAGATGAGCTACTGTGCCGTGTAGTGACTCTCTGGGTGGATGGTCCAGCTTTGCCAACAGTGTGGGTCTGTTGTGGGCTAGTTGTGTTGTTTTTTGCTTTGCTACCATAGGACCATCAAACACGAGCTGCGGGGGACCACCGCTGTTCAGGAAGATAAAGAAAATATTTCCTGACAGATGTCGAGTTGATGTTGAGTGTTTTCTTTTTTTTTCATGAAGCGCTTTGTTGGGGGCTTTTTAGGTCACCTTGTCATGGAGAGTGTAGCAAGAGGAGCTCAGATCGACTCAGACAGCAAGGCTCGGGGAGACTGTAACACTAGGCTGCATCTTTCAGAGCTTTGACAGAAAAGACAAATGTGTAATTTTACAGATTTTTTGGGACTTGCTATTTTGCGTGAAATAATGTTATATAATATTTCATATTTTTCTCTCAATCTGCATCTCTCCCTTGTATCTCTCTCTGAATGACCACAGGATCGTCTCTACTTTGTCATGGAGTATGTGAATGGGGGAGACCTCATGTACCACATCCAACAAGTGGGGAAGTTCAAGGAACCTCAGGCAGTGTAAGACATTCCAGTTAAACATCATTGTCATTTTAGTTTGGCCTCTTAACATACTTGTAAGATAAGATAACACAGCGTAAGATAACACAACATAACGTAACATGACATAACATTGTTCTTAATTAGTCCCATTGTGGGGAAATTTACTATGTTGCAGTACACTTAGTGTAATCACAAAATTAATTAATACAACACATATTCAATGTAAAAAGAATCTTTACAATGTAAAATGTATCTTAAATTATGATTGCACGGTTACATTAGTTAAAGACATTGAGTGAGATATGTAAAGATATAAGGTGTGGATGTGTCAGAATAGAAATTATTTCATTAGGTATTGTAATGGTCGATTTTCCTTGTTGAGAGTCTGTAAATGTGTGGTTGTTATTGCAGGTTCTATGCAGCAGAGATCGCTGTTGGTCTCTTCTTCCTGCACATTAAAGGAATCATCTACAGGTGAGTATCAACTAGTTTACACAGCTACAAAGCATTTTGTTGTTCTTCTTGTTCTTCGGGTGTCAAGGTGCATTACCACCACCTACTCTGTGTAACACATCCTGTTTCATTCTTCTTTTTCCCTGCTATAAAGTGATAATTAGAAATTTGTTGATATATGAAATGTCTGTTTTTCTTGTAACTTGTACCATTGCTGCAGTTAGCCACCCTGCAGTGAATTATCTTTCTTTGTTTTTCCTTTTGATGAAAATTCCCAGCAGCAGGGTTTTCTTACTGTCACCAATGAAAGCAGACTGACGGAAATACTTTTGAAATAAAAATGTGCACTTCCCCAGGGATCTGAAGTTGGACAATGTGATGCTGGACTGTGAGGGCCACATTAAGATCGCAGACTTTGGCATGTGCAAAGAGAAAATGTCAGAGGGAGTCACTACGCGCACCTTCTGCGGCACTCCAGACTACATAGCCCCAGAGGTAAGCAAGGCTCAACACGTGTGTGTGTGTGTTTGTGTGTGTCTGCCTGCGTGTGCATGTTTCGATGCATGAGGTCATCTCTGTCACTGTCTGGTCTGAGCCTGTGTCACCCTTGTGCTCCAGATTAAGGTCACAGCCTCAGGACAGATGCACATACACACACTTGCAAGGTCACAGACACATGCATATTAGCATTCTGATGATGTGAGCATCCCAGTCAGACAGAGAGACACCCAGTGTTTCTGTGGTCCAAACCTTTGAGCTGGGCTCTCTGTACATCCCAGTGAGACTTATCAGATTTTACAGGGTGGCATTCTACATGATTTAGACATAAAGGTCAAATTTTAACAGTGCAAAGACATGATGCTCTTAGGTTCAGGTGACTATAATTATCTATATTGTATTCTATTGCCACCAGTTGACCTGTCTAAATACATTGGTGCTTAAATTTCCTCAAAGCTTAAAGGTTCAGTGTGTGAGATTTAGGTGAAAGGGATCTAATGGCAAAAATTGAATATATATTACTGTTACTGTTGTTTTCACTAGCGTGTGAACTAAAATGAACAAATTGTTGTTTTCTTTACCCTACATTGGGCCCTTTATATTAAAATACTTTTGTTACAACCCAGCCCAGGTGAAAACCCAGTCCCCACATGATGAATGGGTCTCCCTTCTTCTCAGCTCCCAAGAACCACCAGCAACACATTATTACAGCCTGTTTTAAGGCTTATTTAAACTCTTTTTGCATCAGGGTGGGCCAACAGCAAAACAACGAACAAAAACAACCTGAAGGCGAGCAACCTAAAATACTCAAATTAAAGAAACCAAGACAAGTTACTAACTCCTAATTCAAAAACAAGGGTTAAACAAAATGCTAGCCACCCCTACCAAACCAGTACATAAAGCAACAGATTTTAACACATTTCACAAGTTACAATTCTGACTAGCAGTGACAAGAGGAGAGACCACAGGAGCAGGGGGAAGCTGTCTTCTTAACCTGCAAGCTTGGAGGCTGGAACCAATCAGCTCCCTGGATTCAAACCTACACACTCACAGTCAATCATCCACTCAGGCAGTCATTGAGCCAAACACACCTGCAACACATCACACACAAGCACCACAGTGGAGAGACAGGGAGAGAGAAAACACAGACACAGCTGATATAAGTATAGCCAGGGTCGTAACACTTTATATTTCCATCAGGAGAGGGTCCTCTGTACGGAGGCTGCCATGTTTATTCAAGTAGTTTTGAGTTTTTATGACAACTTAAGCTACCACAGGTTCTCTTTCATGTTTGGAAGGGGAGGGTGAGGTGAGGGGTGTTCAGCTGCAACATGCAACTTCACCACTAGATGTCACTAAATTTTATACACTGAACCTTTTAGCTACATGTAAGTGACATCCATATTGTTTTTTATTTTTCTGATTATCAGTTTGTCTCTCAAATTAGTAGACTTGTAAGTCAGATGCAGCAATTTACAGCACTCCAAATGCTCTTATTTTAGTTTGTGAACTCTCTGGCCATTATCAGTCAGTTTGTGTCAGTCTATGTAATGTTTGACCGCGTTATCGATTCTCTCTGACGGACTGGAAGGTTAATTCCGCCCCACGGACGTAGGGTGAACATGCTGTGACCGTTCAGAGTCAGACATTCAGCCAGGCCATGCCACAGCAGGAGGAAGAGCCGCTACTATTTTCATAGGAAGGACACAAATTTCACGTCACACACCTTGGGCTCGATCCATGATGGCCCACGGTCACATGCAGGATGCATCACATGCACAGGCTTCTGTGCACACAGATGCATATCTATATGACTATATGTTTTCAGTATACTTACCCAGTCGGGCACACACTTGTACACACATGAACCTACTCAAAAACACTCCCAAGTGCAGGCTGACCTTAGAAACAGCTCACAGTGGTGACATTTTCAGAGATAATCCAAGGACAGTGTTCCTCAAATTACATTAGACAGAAGGTTGAACTATTAATTATTTTACCAGCTGAATTTGACCTCACAGGTTGGATAGAAGTGTATTCACATATAAGCAGCTGCAGCAGATGGGACATTCGTTAACCTTGTTTTCCATGAAGATTTTTAAGAAGCTTGTTTCTTTTGTCTTAGGCTGAAGTGAGAAGTTTATTTTGATGTCAGTAATTTCATCTTGTGTTCTACTCTGTGTTGCATTTGATTTATCTATTCATCCTAAATTTGCATTCATAGGATGTCTCAATGAAACTGAGACAGTTTATGTCAACGTGTTTTTTTTTTTTTTTTAAATGCTAAATGATAATTGATGAAATTTCAATGATGTTACATTGCCAAGTTGTGGATGTTAGATTTTGGTCAGATTTCATTTAAACCCCTTCACCTTTCTGACTGGGCTTTTTTAAACTTCATCATGTAGGATTAAGGTTTTGTGGGAGGATGAATAGGTTTTTTGATTTTCAGGGTTTATTCTAGAGATGTTCAGATCAGAAGAAGTATATTAGATTCACCTGCCAACAGTTCTTCTTTGCTGCTCCAAAACAGCAGTTGCCCTGTACTGCCAATGGTAAAACAATGGATTTGCGGTAGTTGGGTAATACTGGGTAATATTTCACGCAAGAAAAATGCACAAGAAAAACAATGATGTGTACTGTATGCAAGAATTCAGTTTGAGGGGTGGTACTAATGTTGCCAATCACAACTAAAGTGCAATGCAGTGATAGCAAACATCACTTCCATACTGGTTCAGTAGCATATAGCTGTTAGAAAATTATATATATTATATACTTTGAGTTGGTTCTTGGATCAGCCGATATGCAAGTTCCAGGTATCTGTATCACTATGGGGAAAAGTGGTATTGGAACATCTGTGGTTTATTCATGGCGGCAGGGTGGGGGAGCACCTGCCTCTCCGATTAAGGAAAGCTCTCGTGCAATGTTGTGCATATGTGTGTTTATATGAGCTGCTATGGGAGGTCACGTCTGCAACATAGCTGCGTTGGTGGATGAGATGAGAGGGTCTCAGACATGTGACAGAACACACACACTCGCAATGGCACACAGTTTTCATTTTGTTTACTCTGACCTATATAACCAGTCATTGGAAGCTCCTGTCTGGGAGGAATACTCAAACTAATGTGAATTTACACCTCACTGAGAAAGAAGGGAGCAAATAAAAAAAGGAGGCTAATACGATTTTAGAAAAAGAGCAGAGTCTGATATGTGTGTTTGGTCACTGAAGGAAGGAACAAAAATAAAAGCCTAATGATGACTCTGTGCAGCTTTTCTGGAGAGCATTAGAGATTTGCTTGTGCCCAAACTGTGCGCTTGCACTCAGATGTCCTGCACTCCAGCCTCAGCTCGTCTTTTCACACTCAGGCTTCTTCTGTGGACGTGTGACGTGTCTGCTTCTGGATTTCTTCTCTGCTCTCGTATTTTTCTTCTGCGCTTGGATCTTTTTTGCAACAAAATCGTCTAATTTCCCGAAGCTATAAAATGCCAGGTGTAGTGTTGAGGAATGAAGCCATCCTGCCCTCTTGTAGATACCTTATGAAGATATGACTCCTGCAGGGGACATGTTTAACACAAGAAACGAGGCAGTGACTTCATACTTTTTGTAGTTGCTTTATTCAGCTCTACTCAGGATCTTTTATTTTTCAGCTCCATGATGATCTGCTGGACTCCTGCTCCATGATGTTGTTCTTCTAATAAACTTCTAAGAGGGAAGGCTAGTCTTTCACAACCAGCGTCAACATTTATCTATTTTTTATGTGCTCCATTGCAAGGAGAAAGACCTAACTAAGTTCTCACAGTCTCATAACTTTGGAGGTAGTTTGCTCCTTTATAATCAGATAAGACCCAATTATTTTGCTTCAGGTGACAAGATTACGAACTATTCTTATAGGATGCAGAGGTGTACCGTAGTTCTAGTCATGTTGCTGAATGACTTATTCCTCAGAAAGTTTCAGGACTAGGAATAGCAATAACCTGAGTGATCACAGACCTGCCATCTGGACACATCTCACATGCAGTGGTAGCTTCATTTTTACACTCTTTAAACACCTAGCACTCACTACTGAGCACTCAAACCAATGTTTCCAGACCGGAGCTATAAGTAGTCTCACAAAATCACCTCATCTGCGGGTTAGAGACGTGAGTGAGAAGAAGTCAGGGGGGAAGGAGGAGGTGAAAAAGAGGAAGTGAGAAGGAAGCAGCAAATGAGACAGTGATACTGAAGGCACGAGTTTTAATGAAGCAGGCATGCAAACTATATAATGCCAGTTTATCTCCTCTCCTATATTGCTATTTTTAATGAACATCATTATAGCATATACCAGTGTGCTACTGTAAATATATAGATGTCTCTGCCACATCTGTATTTATTTTGACCATTCTGTCTGTAAAGAATCATAATCATATGAAAAGGTGTTTATCTACTGTGCTGCTTGCATTGTAGGATTTTCACGTAACCCCCAAAGCTGCTCATTAGTGTCATTAGTGAATGAAACCAACCACAGAATATACTGTACTGAGAAATGCTTTTAAAAAACAGACCACTGAGGCATGGCCTGATGCCCACTGTATCTGCTCCACAGCACACACATTCCTCAGAGGAATCTGATAACAACAGCAAGGCGGATATTCAAGTTGCAGCCTGGAACAGTGATGGTTGTTAGGGCGGTGTTTTGCTTGTTTTTTTTAAATACCTTTTTTAATATCTTTTTCCATATGGAGGATGAGGGTTATAGGAGCACTGGTTAGTGCTTGTGCTGGCTCGTGTGTGTGTGCAGTGAGGAGAGTAGCCTTGAATAGCTTGCAGTCTGATCCAGAACTGTCATGAAGCATTAGATCTAATGGGAGAGAGATGTCTGCAGAAGTGCCCATGCACATGCACACAGGCAAAGACACACATTAAAATACACATGCACGCATGCACGCACGCACACACATAGACACACACATAGACACACACATAGACACACACACACATAGACAGGTACCAAATAAAC